ATGTATGTAAAGGTTCAAGATACATACCTAAAATTTGTGGACTTGACTCAGTAAGTCTCCCATCAATTTGAATAAATAGGCTATGAGAAGTACTGCCATTCATTCTTTCTATCCACAGGGAACACTACTCAGTTTCTATTGCTTTGTGTGTCTGTTCATTTAACTTGTTTGTTTGTTTGTTATTTGAAACAGGGTCTCGCTCTGTTTCCCAGGCTGGAGTGCAGTGGCACAGTCTTGATTCACTGCAACCTCCTCCTCCCAGGTTCAAATGATTCTGGTGCCTCAGACTCCCAAGTAGCTGGAATTACAGGCACGTGCCACCACACCTGGATAATTTTTTACTTTTAGTAGGGATGGGGTCTTGCCATGTTGGCCAGTCTGTTCTCAAACTTCTGACCTCAAGTGATCCGCCCACCTTGGCCTCCCAAAGTGTTGGGAATTAACAGACATGAGCCACCACACCCGGCTCATTTAACTGATTTAAAATAACATACAGTTCTCCATTTCTCACCACTGCACACATTTGACAGATTTTATAGCAGTAACCCTAGCTCCTAGCACAACAGGGGCTCTGGGTTACAGGTGGAAAACAGCCTTCAATCAACCCTAAACACAAACGTGGTACATATCTCTTCTTTTTCTCGCAAATCCTGGGTCTTAGGCTACTCCTGCTCTCTTGTGACTTTTCCCCATAGAGGGGTTAATTGGCAAACTTAGGGAAATTTTATGTCATTTCTTTGGAAAGTACCTATGTACATTTTTCTTCCATGTTTTCTCTACACAAAGACTTTTAATTTGTACTTCCTCTTCCACTTATTTTTGAATGGCCCTTGAATAATTCCTTTATCTTTGTTAAGCCTAAGATTTAATGCTTAGAAAATGTGTAGGCATTTATTTTACGTGTTTTAAAAGACTAAATTGTGAAGTGCTGACCTCATAAATGTATCACCAAATGGTAGAAGTCAAAGAAGACAGTTTGATTCATTCAGTGTCTAGATGAGAGGTGATTGCTTCTTGGGCTTTTGGCTAAGATCAAGTATAGATGGAAAGTGATTTTTTTTTTTTTTTTTTTTTTTTTTTTGAGAAGGAGTCTCATTCTGTCACCCAGGCTGGAGTACAGTGGCACAATCTCGGCTCACTGCAACCTCCACCTCCCGGGTTCAAGCAGTTCTCCTGCCTCAGCCTCCCCAATAGCTGGGATTACAGGCACACACCACTATGCCCAGCTAACTTTTTGTATTTTAGTGGAGACGGGGTTTCACTGTGTTGCCCAGGCTGGGTGCCAACTCCTAAGCTCAGGTGATCCACCCTCCTAAACTTCCCAGAATGCTGGGATTACAGGTGTGAGCCGCTGCTTCCGGCAGGGAAGTGTATTTTATGAAATTTGGACTTCAGTTAAAGCAGCCTTTAGACTGTGAGGAGTAGAGACTTAAATGCATTCATTAGAAAAGAATGATTAAAAATAAATGTAAGTGAAATGTATTTTTAACACTGGAAACTTTATGAAGATTAGTTAAGCTAACAAAGATAGTATAAGCAAAGGAATAATGAAGATATTAGCAAAACAGAAAAAATTGAGTTAACAGGTCAGAAACTAGTTCATTACAAAGACCATTAAGGAACAAATATTTGACAAATATGCTGGAAAAAAAGCGTAAATATCATCAGGAATAAAGAAGAAGAATTGCAGATATAAAAGGATATTTTGAAATAAGATTTAAAAACATATAAAAACAATTTTAAGGAAAATACAAAATTTATCAAAATTTATCCTTGAGAAAGCAAAAGCCTGACATGAGCCAGTTAAAAAATTGAAATGCTCCTCAGGGATTCTCTTCTGCTGAAAAGGCACTAAGGTCAAGCATGTCCTTACAGCTTTCAATGATTAATTTCCATCTTATTTCAGATCATAGAAAAATGTGGGAAGATTTTCATCTCGTGTAATAAGGTTAGTATAATCTTGACCCTGCAATCGGGTAAAGCTTGCACAAGAAAAAAAAATACGTAGTCCAGTCTTACATATGTATCTAGATGTCAAAATCCTAATTAAATTTCTTAGTGTTTTGAGTCCAGCAGCGTAATAAGAGTTAAGCTCAAGAAGAACTTATACTAGGACCATAAGGATAATTCAGTACTAGTCAAATCTTTCAGAGTAATTCACTGCAACAGGTTGAAAGAGATAGACTATATGTAATCTCTCAGATGCTAGAAGCAGTCTATAAAATTCAACACCTACACTTGTTATAAAGTCCTTATTGAAAACTCGGAATAGGAGAGAAATCACCTAACTTGATAAATGTTTTCTCTCAGAAACTTACAACAAACAGATTTTATATTTAAACATTAGACACATGCTTTTTAAGTTCAAGAATAAGAGAACATGCTATCACTATTATTGCAGTATGAGAGTGTGAGGAAATAGGAGGCATAATATATAAATACTAAAATGAAAAAGAGAGAATTGCACGTGACATTCTTGTTTAAAACATTTAAGAGAATTCATTGGCAGATTGAACTAATAAACTTTAGCCAAGAGGAAACAGGATACGAGATCTCCATTCTCACACAGATTTGCAGAAGGCATAGTTCCCAAGTCTAAAAACCTATGGTTCCGCCGGGCACGGTGGCTCAAGCCTGTAATCCCAGCACTTTGGGAGGCCGAGGCGGGTGGATCACGAGGTCAAGAGATTGAGACCATCCTGGTCAACATGGTGAAACCCCATCTCTACTAAAAATACAAAAAATTAGCTGGGCTGTTGTGTGTGCCTGTAATCCCAGCTACTCAGGAGGCTGAGGCAGGAGAATTGCCTGAACCCAGGAGGCGGAGGTTGCAGTGAGCTGAGATCGTGCCATTGCACTCCAGCCTGGGTAACAAGAGCAAAACTCCATCTCAAAAAAAAAAAAACAAACAAAAAACAAACAAACAAACAAACAAAAAACTATAGTTCCAGGAGCACATTTTTTTTTTTTTTAGATTTCCAGAAATCTCCAAAGGAGAATTATATATTTCAAAATGCATTTAACTGTGTGATTGAGGCACTTTCATCAATCTTTTAGTTGGAAATAATCCAATAACATGCTAAAAAGGCAAACACCATGAGGAGAATCTAATAGGATTCTATAATGTCTTCCTGGTAATTAAAATGCTGAATTTAAAATCATATGAATTGATGCCAGCATTTCAGTTACTATATGCATTCCAAAGATGAAATACATAAAATCTCATGTTTGATCATATTAACAGATGAACATTTTCAGTTGTTTTGATGATAGGAAACACTAACTTGGAAACTTAATTAAGAAAAATGTTATTCCCCAAACAAGAATTCCATTCTTCTCATTAGGTGATCTGTATTACAAAAAACTACTTAAATTGTTACTGTTAACCATATTTTAAATTGCATCAATAAGAAATCTGTGAAAATTTGTTTTCTTTCTTGTTAAACAAGTATCTATATAATATCCTTCAGTTTGCCTCTTTGTCTGCAAAACCTAAAATATTTACTATCTGGTCTGTTACAGAAAAAAAGTGCTGCCTGCTGTAGCCAGTTGTCCATAACCAGCAATGTCTCTTTTAATAATTCAAATTGTATTGTTTCATTCTTGTTGTTTCTTTCCCCTTCTGATTTTTTCTTGTTTTACCTTCTCTATATTACACATACATGGTGATAACACATTTATAAGTAGTTACTGCTCATCATGTCTTGATGTAATATCTTCATGTGTAAGTTCTTTGGTGCACACTTGCTCAGTTACCTACATAAACTAAAAGAGGGCTACTGGCATTTGGAAAGGACCAAGTGGATAGTTTGAAAACTAATCAAGGTGAAAGGTTTGGAGGAAACTGAAAACATGTATGAGGTAGAGGGATGAGAACACATCTTAAGAGTCTGCTCAGAAAATTTGTTGATGAACTAAAATACATAGCTGTAGCCCTCCTACGAGGATCATAGATGAGTATAGGTAGAGTAAGCTAGGCCCTTCAGTGTGGGAAATGGCTGTGATACTTCTGCCTTCCTGAGGTCTGGCCTCCTGCCTTTTCTATGGGACCCTGCCAAGTCAATACTTCATAGACTACAAGTCAGCTCAAAGAGAGAGCCAGTCTTGGCTTCTGTGTAGGTGGACTTATATCTGTAGCAGCATGTAAGTCATTATCAGGACCTCTCCTGTTGAGGAATGGAGAGAAAGGATTTTTTTTCCTTTCTCCCCATATATGCTAGGTACAATTATGGGAACAAATCAACATCTACCAAGTTGTGTAGAAAAACAAATTATGGTCCAGGTGTGTTGGCTCACACCTGTAATCCCAGCACTTTGGGAGGCCAAGTCAAGTGGATCACCTGAGGTCAGGAGTTTGAGACCAGCCTGGCTAACATGGTGAAACTATCTCTCTTTTAAGAATACATAAAATTAGCCAGGTATGGTGGCACACACCTGTAATCCCAGCTACTCACTTGAACCTGGGAGGCTGAGATTGCAGTGAGCCAAGATTGTGCCACTGCACTCCAGCCTGGACATCAGAGCGAGACTTTGCCTCAAAAAACACAAAGAAGAAAGAAAATTATGTTTTACTTTTCTGTTTCTTAAACATGAACTTCCTTGCATACTTTCACAAAAGTTATTTTAAATCTCTTTTAAAAATACCTAGGTATAGCAGTAAGTGGATTCAGCAGTTGCTGAATTTATTATTGGAGATGATGTTGTAGCTTGTGTGTGTGTAGGAATACTCAGTGGCAGTCTGTTTTTCTTGGTGCATTTTCAAGCCTTGTTATCTTCTTCCTGTTTTCCTGAGAGGCATTGTCTTAAAATATACTTATCAAACAACTAAACTCTAAATATGATTGGAGGGAGGAATTCTTTCTTATTTTTTCTTTATACTTATTTTCTATTGTATTTATACTTTATACATCTATATATATTTTAGTATATGTAATGACATTAAGATTACTTGTTTTTAAATGCAGTCATTTTTATTGATGTGTATTCTTCCTGTCTTTCAGTTCCTGATGATAATTCATTATTGCTGCTGCGGGCAGAGTTATATTTGATCACGAAGAACTATGAGCAAGCTCTCCAGGATGCCAGTGCAGTCTGTCAGAATGAACCTCTCTTGATTAAGGTATTTGTATTTATTAGCCTTGGAGATAATCAATGTAAAGTTTATAGAATTTTCTTAAAAATTAAAGTAAGATTATTGTGATCAGGTACCTGTAGACAACATGCATTTCCCTCAAATTACTGTACCTACATTTAGCAATCCACTTCATAAAGCAAGTTAATTTAAAAGACTAAATCTCCAACTGGATTTAGCTGAGAAACACTAATGTTGATTACACCTAACAGATATTTAGCTGAATAATATGCCCTCTGCATTGAAAAAATATATAAACAAAGTCATCAAATTTTATAAAGTTATAAGTGAAGAGAAAATATTCAAAATTACAACGTAAATAGGAAAATCACTTAACGATCATGATTAGCTGTTGGGTTCTAATATGCATATGAGCAAATCAATGCTGTTGGTAAAGGGGTTAACATTTTGTGCACATTTTACACTAATTTTAGTCTCTGTGTTTTGATTGGAAAGGTTTAATATTTCTGTCTCTCATGACAAAAAATGAACTTTGCTGATCTGATAATGATAGCTTAAGTTGTACTTAAAGAAGTTTAAGAAGCCAAAGAATAAAAGCTTTTTCATGAATCTTTGAATTTTAAAGTGTTAAAGAACTTGTGATGAAATTAACAGCTAGAGCATGCTCTATTAGTCAGTTAATAACTAAAAATATTTATTCTGCTATATTACTTTATATCATCTTTGCCTTAGAAACATTAAAGAGACACTAAGCCAGGTTAGTAGTCAAGCTCTGGGAAGCCTGCGCTTCTTCCCTGTCGTCTTTTAAAACAAATGTTTTTCAGATTAGCCTGAGTGTCAAGTTCAACCTGGGGGTAAGCCCAAGAATGGGAGCAGATGTTTGTTGGACTAAGTTCAGAAGTCTATGTTGTTGCTTGTTTGCTTTCCTAAAAAAAAGTTTGGACTCCAGTTTCAAATGCCTTTTCTCATATGCCTTCACCCATTCTTTAAAATTATGTTTTTAATTGGCAAACAAAAATTGGTATATATTTATCATGTGTAATATGTTGATTTGAAACGTATACACTAAGAAATGGCAAAATCAAGTTAATTAGCATGCATTACCTCACATATCATTTTTTGGTGAGAACACTTAAAATCTATTCTGTTAGCAGTTTTCAAAAATACAATACGTTGTTACTAACCATACTCAACATATTGTATTGCAATAGAGCTCTTGAACTGATTTCTCCTGTTTAGCTGAAATTTTGCATCTTTTGACCAACATCTCCCCAGTGCTTTTGAACAACTGGAGATAAGCCATTGCCAGCAAAATATTTGCCCATTTGCATAAATAGATATAGGCACATGATCAGTTTGAGCTTATCCAGACATCAAACCTGTAAGACTTAAAATTATGTAAAAGCCAGTTAATTCAGTTAACAAACATTTACTGATACACTATGGTATCAAAAATGCAAATCTTGATTGGGATTCCATGTGCACATATAAAATACTTGAAACTTTATGTGAAGTTCTTTGTGCATATAAGACAGTATTATTCTTTCAGAAGTTTTGATAATCAAAGCAAATTTAGACACTACTGAAACATGAAAGTTGGGGACTCTTTTATAAGGCCTGAAAGGGGCCCTAGGAACTTCGTATTCATAATTTTGTACTCTTCCTGACCAGGTGCAGTGCCTCATGGCTGTAATCCCAGCACTTTGGGAGGCTGAGGCAGAAGGATCACTTGAGGTCAGGAGTTCAAGACCAGCGTGGCCAATATGGTGAAACCCTGTCTCTACAAAAAAAACACACACACACACACACACACACACACACACACACTAGCCAGGTGTGGTGACGCACACCCGTAACCCCAGCTAATCAGGAGGCTGACTGAGGCAGGAGAATCACTTGAACCTGGAAGGTGGAAGTTATAGTGAGCCGAGATCACACCACTTCACTCCAGCCTCGGTGACAGTGAGACTCCATCTCAAAAAATAATAACAATTTTGATCTTTTCCTTAAACAGACTTTCCAAATTATGTAAGATTAAGGCTCCACAAAAATTAAATCTGCTCTTATGAAAGGAGAATAAGATAATTAGTAAAATCTCACATTTATTATAAATGTAAAGTCCCATAGAGGAATCATTGATTGTCTGGAGTGTATTTGAGACTTCAGGGAGCTCAGGGATGAAACTGATGATTTGTTGTCTAAAATACTCATCATGTGTTTTGAAATCGCTGTTCTTCTAGAGAGCTGCAAGGTAAGGGATGTGATGAATAGACACTTAGCAAATGTTAGGAGAGATGTTGGTGCTGGAGATGGAGCCTGGGCACCGTCAGCACGGTCATGGTGTTTAGACAGCGGAGAGAGAAGCTAGGACCTGAAAATGGGCCTTTACATGTACCAGTTAGTGGCTACCAATGTTCTGGAGCATTTTTAGTACAGAAATAATTAAAATGATGGTAACAGGGGTGGTGGTTTACCTCTGGTAACAGTGAAGGAGTGAAATGATCATGTGAACCCAGAGGGGAAAACAGTTATAAAAACTGGATTTGAAAAAATACACTGTAAAGCATCTGAAAACAGAAGCTGGTGGAGAGTTTCTAAAAAACCTGCACATGAAAGGGATAAGAACTGTGGGGGAGGTTTCTGTTCGTTCTTTTGTTTTTGTCTTTTTGGCCCCTGAGGTCTGTCTGTCTCCACAGCTGCAGCTGCAAGAAAACAGTAGTGGGTCAAACACTCAGCATCACCACCTAAAAGTACCGGGAGTTCAGATTTCTAACAGAACAGCTAGAAATTAGGGGAATCGCTAAAAGCAGAGAAATCCCAGAGCGGATGATTCCCAGCTCTGACCAAATCCTGGCTTATTACCAAATTTCATAGGCACTGGGGAGAACCACGAGACTTAAAAAGGAGCTGCGGAAGTTGGGCGCGGTGGCTCACACCTATAATCCCAGCACTTTCAGAGGCTGAGGCCGATCACAAGGTCAGGAGTTTGAGACTGGCCTGGCCAATATGGTGAAACTCCATCTCTACTAAAAAAAAAAAAAATTAAAAAATTAGCTAGGCATGGTGGCAGGCATCTCTAGTCCCAACTACTTGGGAGACTAAGGCAGGAGAATCACTTGAACCTGGGAGGCGGAGGTTGGTGTGAGTTAAAATCGTGCCACTGCACTCCAGCCTGAGCAACAGAGCAAGGCTCGGTCTGAAATAAAAAATAAAGATAAAGGAGCTGTGGAATAACATATTAACAGAGCAGAGATATCCTAGCTCTATACCGTGAAGGAATCCAGCAAGGTTGACTGCCTATTAAAACAAAAACCCAGTATTCTCAAAAGAATACCACAAAATGCAGAGGTTGATGCAACATGTTTTGTGCAGAGTCTAGTTTCAGCCAGAAATGCTTGCCATGTAAAGAAAAAAAAATGTTGACCTGTACTTGGGATAAAGAACAGTCAATTAAAATTGTCTCTGAGTGGGCAGAGACAATTATATTTTCCACAAAGAGACTTTGAAGTAGCTATTATGAATAAGTTCAAAGAGTTAAATTGCATCCAAAGAACTGAAAGAAAATATGTTATCTTTGATTGAGATTAAGAGCAATCTCAACAGGGAAATTGAAACTATAAAAAATGGAAATTCTGACTGAGTGTCATGGCTCATGCATGTATGCCCAGTGCTTTGCGAGGCTGAGGCAGGAGGATCGCTTGAGGTTAGGAGTTCAAGACCAGCCTGGGAAACATCATAAGATTACATCTCTACAAAAATTAAAAAATCAGCCAGTTAGGGTGGCATGTGCCTGTAGTCTGAGCTGCTCAGGAGGCTGAGGCGGATTGTTTGAACCCAGGAGTTAAAGGTCACAAGGAGATCTGATCATGCCACTGCATTCCAGCCAGGGCAACACAGTGAGACTCCGTCTTTTAACAAAAAAATTCTAGAGATAAAAATTATCAATGCTGAAATTATAAAGATTATCCGTGCTGAAATTTAAAATTTCTAGGTAGGCTTAATAGCACATTATACATGGTGAAATAATCAGTGAAATTAAAGATAGATCTCTAGAAACAGAAATTATTTGATGCAAAGAACAGAAAAAAGATTAAAGAAAAATGAAAAGAATCTTGGGAATTTGTGGAATAATATGAAGTGGTACAATATATGTGCCATTGGAATCCCATAAGAAGACAGAAAATGTTTGGCAAGAAAAAAAAATGAAGAAATAATGGGTGAAAAGTTTCCAAATTTAATGGGAAACATTAATTTCAGCTCCAAGAAGGTTAACTCAAGTTATAAGCAATGGTACATTCTAATCATAATCAAATGGCTATGCTGTAAGCCAAAGATAAAAAAGTCTTGAAAGCAGTAAAGAAAAATGACATGAAATGAGAATGAGCAAAATGACGTACAAGGAAATAATACTGATGGTTGCCATCTCATCTGAAATTGTGGAAGCCGGTTGACATTGGAACAGCATATTCAAAGTGCTAAGAGAAGGTCTTTCAACTATGTGTAAACCAGTAGAAAACAAAAAAAAATAGTATTTTTACAGATTTGAGAAACTATTGCATTCATAAGTTGAAAAGCAGATGCCATGGGAAGTTAGTGATCCATATTGTATTTTGTTTATTTTTATTGTGGCACTTAATACATTACACTTTGTATTGTAATTGTCTTTAGTCATGTCTGTGTTAGTTCATGAGACTGTAAACTCCTGGAAGGTAGGAAGATGGTAGTGACCTGTAATTGCTGAATGAATTTAAAATTGATAGCCAGTTTTCTCTTAGCGTGTCCCTTAGAACTCCTTTGTGCAGTACATTTCAGGTATGGTAACGCCTGTGTTCTGACTGTAGATTGTATTTATGAGCTATTGAAGTTTGCTAAGTTTCCAGGGTAGTGAGATACAGTAGCAATAGAGTCATCCTTGGTGGGTTTTGTTTATTCTACTTAATGTGAAATTAAAACAAGTTATTATAATAAATTTGTTCAGGGAAGTTTGTATTCAAGTATGTAATCATGCTGGGTTTTAAAATTGCATACTTTGTCATGGTTGAATCTAGGGACATCATGTAAAAGCTCAAGCTCTTTCTGGATTGGGAAGAAGTAAGGAAGTGTTAAAGGAATTTCTCTACTGCCTTGCTCTAAATCCTGAATGTAACGCTGTGAAGAAAGAAGCACAGAAGGTATGAGTTCTCTTAAAGGACTTTCTCCTTCAGGTCTTATTTATAGCCCTCGTGTTCGTGCTGAGATACACATGTGAGATACACAAAAATAATTCTGAATGCTCATGACGATGTGTTACAGAATACATGATAATAATTATAAGGTTCATGCATTGGATCACTTCTAGGTAAACATTATGTTTTGTCCCTGGGTAGAGTGTTTCATGAGACAGCATAAACATACCTTAATTCTGTTGATGTAATGACACACATTAGGCAAAGCAAGGTTACTGTGTGAGGCTAGGGAGGCAAAGTATTTTGTCCTCAAGTTTGTAGTTTCAAGTATTACATAGTTTGTGTGGGAGCCTTTTGAAAGACCTTATGATACATGTAAAATATATCGACTCGGCTCTCTAGGGTGACCTGTAATTTTCAGCAAAGCTTCACCAGCACAGTACAGAAACACCTGCTCTTTTACCCATTATCCAGTCACACGGAATATAGAAATCTATCTTGTTAAAAAGCCTATACGATGGTTACCTGATATTTACTTAGCACCTCCAATGACCAGGAATTTTTGTTGTTATGTTTGTGCTTCCCTGTTTTAATGCTGTATATTGTCAACTTCCACCATATACTTACCCTTTAATTTTTACTTACCTGTCCAGTTCTTTTCTCTGGAGCAACAGAAAATGAATCAGTTCTTCCTTGTACAATTCAACCCACATTAGATATTTGAGAACAGCTATTGTAAAGACAATAGCCTTAACATCACCATGTGGGCCAAACATTCTTTTCTCACAGAATGGGGTTTTTAAGATTTCCTCTTCTGGATGCATTCTAATGTACCCTATATTTTAGCATCTACATGTGACAGCCACATTTGGTGAAATTTTACCTTCCCTTGTGTTCAAATTAGGGGGCATGTTTATTTCTAAATACCTAGATCATCTTTTTTTTTTTTTTTTTTTAAAGAAGAAGTTTCTGGCAATGTTGTTTTTTATCTTCCCTTTTGCAGTTGATTGGTGGATTGGTGTTAGTCCTGTTCAGTTGCCCTGACAGTTGTTCAGTTGACCAGTGTCACTCATTGGTTTTTGAACATCGTTTCAACCTGTCAAAATAATATTGCATCTTCAGCCTGCTATTCAGCTATCTCTGCCTGCTTTGTCCTGTATGCAAACTTCCTAAGAATCTTAAAACATGTCTCAACTAATTCCCATGACCCTTTTCTGAGAAAGTCAGCCCAAGCTCAAAGAGATTAAGCATATTCACCTGGTCGAGGGTTTAGGTCTTGTGGGTGTTGTCTGCCTGGAGCTTTTTCAGACATGGTGTTTTCCCCTGGGCATTCTATGGCTGTTAGATATATTGTATCACAGACAGTACCAAAAACGGTGTTAGCCTGTTAACATGGAATGTGGCTCCATCACCAGCAGCTCTGCTGAGGCTCTCAGAACTGGCGCTGAGGACCTTAATGTTGCTGCTAAGAGTGCTGGTGCGCATTGCTACAGAGCCATGGATTCTAGTGCACCCACCTTGAACCATGAGGACCAGTGGAGAGTGGGAGGAGCCTTTGTTTGGGTTTCAGTCACTCCTTTCTGCTTTTCTCAAGCTTTGGATGCAGCTGAGGCCATAAGGTTTGACAAGACCATTTGAGTGTCCACTAGAATTGGGTGTTAGCTAGAATGCCTACCTGGCCATCACTGTCCACCCTTCCTCTGCCCCCACCAATGCCACTCCCTGGTTCTTGAACCAGGATTATGGCCTTTCCCTCTCTTTTCCTTTAAAGTTCTTTATGAGGTGGCTTTTCTGGTTCTCATCAGTAGAGCAGTTCTGTAGAGTAACCTCAGTCGTGAGGGTGATCACAGTTTAGATTTAATTCAAGGCCCCAGCAGCCTTTACATCCTCTTTCTCTCTGATCTGTGTGGCTTTTAGGGGAGACTTTATGTAGCAGATGTGTAAGGACCAGTAGAAGGAAGTGGTAATACTATCATTTTGTCATTGGGAAGTGCAAGATCGAAAGGGATTGGAAGCTAACATACTTAAAACATTGACTCTAGTTTCAAAAATGTTTGTTTTTTAAAAGGTTGGCAGATCAATTATTCTTTTCAACATATTAGGCTTATTTAGCCTCGTAGTTTTCTTGGAATCTGTAAGACATACTATATTTTTACAAAAGAATTTTAAAATGTTTTCTTTTCTTGGCAATTTTATAGGTAATGTGTGAAGTGCTGTTTTCAGCTACAGAAAATGTGCATGAAACTTTAACATCTTCCATCCAAAGCAGATTAAAGGCTCAAGGTCACAGCCACGGGAATGCCCAGTCTCAGCTGGAAGAAGGCGACGCAGGGAGCTCTGAGGTATGAAGTGCATGTGTTTGTCAGGATTCTCTTGATTAAGGTTTATGTAATTGCTTCATTTTAAACAGTTTACAGATTATTCACACATTATGGCATTGTGTTTGTTAGACATATTTCTCAAGACCAGCTGTAGCTCCTCAACCTGGGAGTTGGAACTTTTACACAAAGTCTATGGAAGTAATGAAAGTGATTAAAGATTCAAAGAAGCTTTAGAACACCACCAAATGACCCACAACGGCAGGAGACTTTAGGTTATCTTGGCTTGGAGAAAACAAAGCAAAGGCATTATTTGAATATGATATATGACTCTGTGTGTGTGTGTGTGTGTGTGTGTGTGTGTGTGTGTGTGTGTGTAGATAAATAAACAGATTGCATATGAAGATAAATTTTCACTTGCCCTGGCTCAGGAAGAAATTATCCTGTATTTTACTGTGAAAAGAATAAAGCTCATCCTAGAAATTAATAGATGAAACCAATTATGAAGGAAGAGTGTAAGCCCTTTTTCTTTTTCAAAGATTTCTAGTACAGGCTACTGCATTCTCTTTCTCTTATGCTATGATTTCTTTAATATTCAGGATTTCTTTTTTTCCTACTTAACCAGAATTCGACTGAGAAATCTGATATGCTTGGAAATACCAATTCCACAGTTCTGTATTTCATACTGGGTCTGCACTTTGAAGAGGATAAAAAGGTATTAGAAAGCATCCTTCCAACAGCACCCAATGCTGGCTTAAAGAGACAGTTTCCAGATGACATGGAGGATGCACCTAACCTGAACGCCCCTGGAAAAATTCCCAAAAAAGGTCAGTGAATTATTTTCATCAGGCAGTTCTGTGACTCCAAAGTGATAGAATGTTAGCTAGTATTCAATATATTTTTTAAAATTCTGTACCATTTAGTATTAGTAATGAAAGATTATATCAGCTCTAAGATTATAGAGCATTTTAGATGTTTTATACAGCAAAGACTTCATAGTCAAAAATAACAGAGAAAATTTAGCTATAATTTTAAATTTTATTCACATATATCATCCAGATAAATAATTGCTATATGCTGTTAACTGGACAGGAACTATTTCTGTCCAGTGTGATTTGTTACATTGATACAACGCATTTTGTCCGGAGGAAATGCCTCTCTTGCGTGCTGTTGTTCAGATGCTTAGGTGTTAATTACAGCGTTCTAAATTTTTTCACATTCAGATTTCTCACCTCAAAGGAGCCTGAACTCTGATATGGAAGAAAGTCAGTGGCTCTCGCTTGATGTAACTGACTTTGAGTGTGCCCTCTGCATGAGGTAGGATGATACAGAGTCCATGCAGAGTCTTTAAAACTTCAGCATTTCTGAAACATACACCAAAGTGTAATGGACTTTTTATTATTGGGGAAACTATGTAGAGCTCAGTAATAATTGATTTATTTTCTAAAGATTTGATAAAGAAGATGTAAAAATGGAAGTGCATGCAAGTAATTTCTAGAACAGTAATGGAATTGCATAAGGAATCCTTCTAAAACCAATCCATGATTTGAAAATCTGTCCTGGACATTTCTTGCTGAAAACAGATTTTTCTTCCAGGTTGCTCTTTGAACCTGTCACTACGCCCTGTGGACACACATTTTGCCTAAAATGCCTTGAGCGCTGCCTTGACCATTCCCCACAGTGTCCATTGTGCAAAGACAAACTTTCGGAAGTAAGTACATTTTAGGAAATGACAAGACAGTTCCTCCTCTCATCCCTTGGTAGACGCATATTCCCTATCTTGCATTGCATTTCCCACCCAATTGTTAAAGAAAGAGAGTTCTCCAATCAAAGATAAGTCTTTTCTCATCTCTTTGATTAATCAAGAAATACACAAGGAAGGTTTACATGCAGAAATTGCTAAATTTCAAGGAATTTTTTAGGTATAAATTTTAGCTGAGATAGATTGAAAATAGCTAGCATTGTTGAGTCCTTACATTACGTTCATTGTAAATGGTTGAGACGTTGTCATGTACAGTTAATGTGTTCCAGAAATTCTCATTTTCATCTTGAGAGTTTTTCATAGGATTGAAGGCTTGATCATTTCTGACCACTGGTAAGTCCCCTTAGAGCTTTTACCAGTTGTCAGTTATTATTGTCTTTGGTTTAAAATCAAAATCAGTAAAATTCAGGTTCCATGGGGAAGCTATTTAATGATATTTAGCCCTAATATAAACTATTAAATCCATTTATGTTAGATGTGGCAAATACAATGAAGAATATTTAAAAGCTGAAGACCTCTGATCAATTTCTGAAATAGCGAATTCTTATCAGCTGTATTGGGCTCTGGTTCCATTAGTGCCACTAACTTTATATGGAGCAAGTCATTCAACATCTTATGGGGGTGGGGAGTGTCTTCCTTTGTTTTCCATTCATTAAATGTGACTGATAATATTTGCCTTAATTACTTTCCAGAGATTAAACTTATTGAATGCATTTTAAGTAGAATAAAGGTTTTTTCTTTTTACAAATGTACAGTAGTATTTATTTTTAAATCTGATGTGATAAGAGGAGATATTATACTTAAGTGAAGTTTTAAGTAATTATAACCTTTAAAATTTACTGCCAAAACAGCAAACCATCTTGCCATGTATGTACCTATGCAACAATCCTGCATGATCTGCACATGTACCCCAGAACCTAAAGTACAATAAAAAAATTTACTGCTGGGCACGGTGGTGGTGCATGCCTGTAGTCCCAGCTACTCGGGAGGGTGAGGTGGGAGGATTGCTTGAGCCCAGGAGTTCTGAGCTGTAGTGTGCTATGCCGATTGGGTGTCCGCACCAAGTTCAGCATCAATATGGTGACGTCCTGGGAGTGGGGGACCACCAGGTTGCCTAAGGAGGGGTGAACCAGCCCAGGTCAGAAATGAAGCAGGTCAGAACTCCCTTGCTGATCAGTAGTGGGATTGCACCCGTGAATAGCCACTGCACTCCAACCTGGGCAACATAGCGAGAACCTGTCTTTAAAAAGAAAATTCACTGCCAAAAGATTAAAATAACTAGTTACCATTGAAACCATTTTCTAAAACATTATATGTACATACTTTATTAAATTGCGTGCATACTGAATCTTTCTAAATTCTTCAGAGCTCTCATGAACATCAATGGCTGTGCTGTGTGCTTTGCGTCACGGTGGTGGCTGTGTCTGAGTCTGCAGAGCCGTTTCTTCAGCAGCTCCTGCGCAGTCCTCCTCCTGCTGTTTGCTGTCTCTTCTTGCTAGTAGATGCCTCAGACCCATTGCCTCTTGTTCTAGGCTCATCTGTTCTTAAAAGAATAAAACACATGTCTGTGTGAGCCCTGTTTACAACACAGACCTAACTCACTTCCGTTTCAATGCTGCCTTGTAGGAGGCCGAGTGAAGATGCAGTAGCTGGAAGTCGGCACTAGAACAGAAGCTGCTTAAGTACTGAGACTTCCTGTGACCTGTTTTCCCTGTATTTACGGGGACCAGCACATACACCAGAGACCCTTGAAGTCTTTATTGAATGAATGAATGAATCAGTGAATGAATGAATGATTATATGCAAAGTATACGTGGATTACTAATGGTCCAGAAATTAGAATACTATAAAATGAAATAAAATCCAAAATTATCATTTTGTCTTTCTTCATTGCAGAAATTATATCAGGCTCATAGACACCTTTGCATGTAGTACCAGGGACCTGAATCATCATTTATATATGACTCTACAGAAGTAGTTAGCATCATGCCAAGTAGAGCATGTTTTATTGTATTACTCTTCAGTGAAAGGACATCATAAACCATTTATAATGACAATTATGAGGCAGTTTTGTGAATTAGATGATAGCTTGTTTCTCCACCAGTTACCCTGAGTTTGAACTCCTGGTTCTCAGTCAATCACAGCAATACATTTAGTTTGTGTCACACCAGCTACAGGGAAATCTGACAGGATGCAAAGGACTCCCCCAGCCAAGGTGTGTTAGAGATACGTGGTGCCATCCCAAGCCCATAAATGCAGCAGGCCACCAAAGAGCAGAGCCTTGAAGCCCGCCAGGCCTGGGGTCCTCGCTATGCCATGGTGGCTCAGCACTCACCCTTACCCTTTCTGATTCACAGCTTTATGAGCGCAGTGGAGAGAACAGCTATAGCATTATACTGTTTTCAGGACTAATAATGCACCTGCAACAGCACGTGATGTGTATCAAAATGTCAGTGAAAAGAGCTACTATATGCTAGTATACATGACTGCAGTAGAACAGTGCAACCTACCAAGCTACTACTCTGTGTCCACACACACATGCGTGCATGCACACACGCACGCATCCAGAGTAGTTCAGCCACATTGTGGCCCTGCAACCCACGAATCACAGCACTTCCCCGTTTAGTCTCCTCCCACCTTCCCTTCACATCCAGCTTAAATCCATGGTCCCTCACTCTCTCTCAATCCCAAAAAATCAACCTTTACCGTTTGCATGCATCCTAAGTAGCACAACAAAGCTAGAAAAAAACACAATGTTGGCAAGATTGGTGTCAGTTTAGATGAACAATTTTAAGTCTTAGACTTAAAACATAAGTAATCATTCTTACATTCTTTCTCTAGTAGTTCCAGTTCTTTACTCTCCAAGCTGATCATTGCATATGTCTCTCCTCACCCAGCGTGCCCTGCTTCACTTCCTCCCCTCTCATTAATATCACGGCACTTGGCTGAAAATGTAGATGCTGTCAAGATTGAGTTGCCTTATCCTTCGTCCAGGTGAACACCAACTCCTGGCCTTTCTTCACAGTGGAGGGGCTGCCCCTGCTCCTGGCACAGGCTGGCCCTCCTCCCTCTCCACTCTGTTCCTTCTTACCTGCTCAGAGATCCCATCCGCCACCTCCTTGTTCACTGTTCGACTGGGAAGCTTGGTCCTTTAGAGTCAATTACCATATGGTATCATATGACTTTTTTATTATTTTGTTACAGTTATTGGCAAGCAGAAACTTCAATATAACTGTTCTGGCTGAAGAATTAATAATTCGGTATTTGTCGGATGAATTGTCTGACAGGAAGAGAATTTATGATGAAGAAATGTCGGAACTGTCAAAGTAAGTCCTCAAGTATGTCCTTGGTCTTAGGTTCAGATTGAACTTTGTCAACCTCAGCTTCACCTCAGGTTTTCTTTTCATGGCAGGGAACTCTTTTGGTCTGTAAGTGGAAAAAAATGTTAATTGCAAAATATTTTTGGAAACATGATTGCAAGAAGTTATAGGAAATTTTTTATAAGATATTTTTAAAGTGTTTTAACAAAATTACATAGTTGCTTTTTGTATATAAGCAAGTGATACTGAATTTTTCAGGATTTAAAAAGCAGAGAAGGCTGGGCACAGTGGCTCATGTCTGTAATCCTAACATTTTGGGAGGTCAAGTCGGGAGGATTGCTTGAGCCTTAGGAGTTCAAGACAGAGCTGGGAAACAGCAAGACCCTTTCTCTATATTAAAATAATTGTTAAAAATAAGCAAAAGAATATAAATGTATTTGTTACCAATGAACTGTACACTTAAGAATAGTAGATTATATATGTGTATTTTACCTCAAAAAATGTTTTAATGTAATATCTGCAAAGTGGAGTAAAGTGAAGCACAATTTTAAAACGTAGAGTGAGAAGCAAGGCCCAGGATTGCGAATCACAACAGGCTTGACAGTTTTCATCATTTAAAATGGTGGAAGTTTTGTGTTTTTGTAGAGATCTTAATCACTCTTCCACTTTCCTATTTAAAACTCATTGCCTTTGACTATTTTGTAGTTTTTGCTTTTATCAGAATTTTTTAAGTGCTCAAAAGCTGTAACTTTTCCAAGCAAAGTAATATAATTCAGCATGTTCCCTTTTCTCTAATTAAATAAGACAGATTTGTCAAGAAACCTGGGTGAGCAGAGAATGTTCACAGGCTGTGGTCCTTGGCTTTCTTGTCCCTCTTAGCCTGAGGGTTTTGTTTTTTAGCGGGGAGACCTGAGGTTGAGTGTTTGCTATTTTGGTGGCCAGTACTACACTCTGATCTAACAGCTCACATATCTGAGATAACGTGTCCCCTTGTTCTGCAGTCTGACCAGAGACGTCCCCATCTTTGTGTGTGCCATGGCCTTCCCCACGGTCCCATGTCCACTGCACGTCTTTGAGCCCCGCTATCGGCTTATGATAAGAAGATGCATGGAAACTGGCACCCGGCGATTTGGCATGTGTTTATCTGCTGAGCACGCAGGGTAAGAACTGTCAGCATTCAAAGGGTCCTAATTAAGGGCATTGTTTGTCATCCTTCTTGCAAAATGACAGGCTGATGCTTGAAAACCTCCAGTGACTCCCATTACGTAACGAAGTCAAAGTTCAAGGCTGTACATAATGAGGTCCCATCCCTCACCACCTACGTCTTCCTTTCGACATCACACCTGCTAGTCCACTGCCATACTATCTGCCCTTCTCCTGTGACAGCTCATGCTTCCACACCTCCGTGCTTCCCTCTGCCTGCAAGTTACTTTATCCCCATCTATATACAAACAAATCTAGTCCAACTTTTGAGGTCTAGAAAAATTGCAACTGGGCTCAGTGGCTCATGTTTGTAATCCCAGCACTTTGAGAGGCTGAGGTAGGAGAATCGCTTGAGCCCAGAAGTTGGAGACCAGCCTAGGCAGCATAGGGAGACCCTATCTCTACAAAAAATTTCTAAAATGAAAAGTTTTTATATCCTTCACAAAGCTTTTTCCCTGTCTCTACAGCCAAATCATGTTCAGTCTTACAAAAACACACTACACATAGTTTTCACTTCCTCTCACTTCATGTCTATGTCAAGGGAGAATATTGCAAGCCAGCAGGTCATTCCCCTCTGTGGACTGTTTTGGGGACTCAGGACCCTCCCATCCCTTAGGAACTTGTCAGCCCTACATGATCATGATAAGGTCACTGCCTCCAAGTGCTAGGTGTGGAGGCGGTGCACATGCTCTTAAAGGACTCTGAAGAAAGGGGGCTACCTTCTGTTCACACCTGCTGCAAAGGAGCCTGACAAATATAGTCCACCCACGTGCCCAGGAAGAAGAGGAGAGTGCATTTTTAGGGCCACTCAGAATTTTCTACCATAAATACCTAAGGACAGATCTTTTTAAAATACACGTAGGGCCTTCGTAGAGAAAATTCTGAAACTTTATTGAAAGATAATTCAAGAAGTTCTGAATCAATAGAAAGAAATGCCATGTTCATTGGTGACAGACTCAGTGTCATAGAGATGCCATATCTATGCAGTTCCACAAATTCAGAGTAATTCCCATTAATATCCCCAGGGGGCTTCTTCATGGACTTGCTCAAGCTGACCTTAGAATCAGTATGGAAAAGCAAAACACCAAGCCTAGATATGGCTGAGCAAACGGGCGAACACTCCTATAGTGTCAAGTTTACAAGCAGTAAGTAGTAAGTAGAACAATGAAACAATAATGTAGAGATCCAAAACAGGCCCACTCATATGTGGGAGCCATATTCACAGACAATTTTATGGGAAAAGACAAACTACTCAACAAACTACCCAGAAAATTAGTGGGTAGTCCAAATAAGAGGTGGGGGCTGGGGGGAACTTTACCTTATACCATAGATGAAAAATAACGCATTTACATTTCTAATGTGAAAAACAAAATATGAAAACATTTGAGGAAATATTGGGGATCACCTTATAATTAGGAATGGGGAAAGATTCTCATACAAGGTGCTGAGAATACACAACAGAAAAAGATTAATACATTATAATATATTAAAATTTGATTAATCAAACATCAGTAAAGTAAAAAAATAAGCTGTAAGAATTCGATGTGCACTGAGAATATAGAACTCTGAAAAGAATGTTATTCCTATCCAAAACAACAAGAAAAAACAGACAAACCACAGAACATTTGTTTCTTGAACCCATCAGAGACTGGTGGTTGCTCTGGGTAACCAAACAAAGATCCCACAGGGCAAGAGCAGACAGAGACCAGGAAGAGACATAAGAGTGTGTAGGAAGAATTCAGCTAATTTTTTTTGTTTAACAAATTGCCAGTGACCTTGTGTGGGCTGGCATCACAGTGTCGGTCCCTGAAGAGCTGCACTCACAAAGGAAGCTTGCATCACACACAGGCTCTTGTCCACAGATAAGAGGCTCCTTGGTGAGTCATGTCTGCAGCAAGGCAGACTTGGAGGAGTTGACCTTTATTTGGAGGCCTCTGCTGGTTGCTTGGGCAGCAAGTTCTCCCTTGAAGAGGGATCTTCAGGACGCCTCCAGGTTCACCATGCTATGAATGAGATCATCCTGTTAGGTGAACAGGAAGAGAAAGTTTTATTAAGTATATAAGTAGAAGCATCCAGGCGGTAGTTTTACGTATAGGCTTGTAACTTGGGAATCATTGCTGCTCATTAGTTTGGGGGAGGTATAGTAAAGCTGATCACCATGAGGACTTTAGAATCACACTGCTTTGAGTTCTCATTTTGGCTGTAAATCTCCCAGTGGACTTAGATAAGTTAATTGCTCTGAGCCTCCGTGTTTTTGTGGGCTTGAATTCGTATGTATTATAAACTGTTGTGTGTGGTGCTTGGCATGTGGTAGTGTGAGAATATCACTAGATTACAGATGATAGTTACAACTGGAATGTGGGTAAGATCTGGGGAGAGCTTCAGAATGAGAATAGACATAGCTTAGGACACCACCCTGGGCTGGGTAGCATGGAGCGGGTGGGACAGACAGAGGTAGGGGTGTGAGGGGCCGGGCTGGTTAGAGAGGGTGCAGGAGAGCAGAGGCATTGGCTCAGCAACAGTCTGCAGGGTCATGCCTTAGGATGTCAGACAGGAGACTGTCCAGTGCTTGGAGCAATTCAGAGGACATCTCTGACATCTTTTGGAGTCCTTTAACGGTGGGATATGGAGCAGTGAAAGGGAGGCAAGGAGATGAAGGCAGTGGCCGGGGACTGCTTTCCATGGCACTTTGGTTGGGGAGGACAGAGCTGGCAGAATTGGAATGAGGTGAAGACCTTGTGGGCAAAGGCAGGAGGGAGGAGGAGCTGAGTGTCTCTGAAGGTAGAGGGCTTGCTGCCCTAGCAACCAGCACCAGCAGAGGCTTCTAAATAAACGTCAGCTCCTCCAAGCCTGCCTTGCTGCAGGGCATGACTCACCAAGGAGCTTCTTATCTGTGGACAAGAGCCTGTGTGTGATGCAAGCTCCCTTTGTGAGTGCAGCTCTTCAACGACCTACACTCTGATGCCAGCCCACACAGGTCATTGGCAATTTGCTTTAAAAAAAAAATTAGCTGAATTCTTCCTACACACTTTTATGTCTCTTCCTGGGCTCTGTCTACTCTTGCCCTGTGGGATCTTTGTTTGGTTACCCAGAGCAACCTCCAATCTCTGATGGGTTCAAGAGACATATCTTTTGTGGTTTATCTTATTTTTCTTGTTGTTTTTCACATTCTTTTCAGTGTTCTATATTCTCAGTGCACACGGAACTTCTATAGCTTATTTTTTCACTTTACTGACTTTTGATGAATCAAATTTTAAGTGTGGGCTTGAATTTGTATGTATTGCTCTGTGTGTTGCTTGGCACGCGATAGCATGAGAATTTCACTAGGATATGGGTGATAGTTACAATCAGAGTGTGGGTCAGAGCTGGGGAGAGCTTTGGAAAGCCGAGTGTGTGCATGGCGCCAGCTGGGCAGTCCTGATGGTGCCTGGCCAAGGCAGCTGAGGAGCCACATTTAAGATTGGGTCCTTCCCAAAACACTAGCCATTGGAACTGCTAAGGCACAAGTCCCATCTCACCTGGAGCCCTTCCTCTGTAGCCACCATCACCACTATATTTAGCATCTAACAGAAGCAACTGTCTGCACATGTCTCTTAGCAACAATAACCTTGCTGGTCTGATATGGAGACACTGTTTTGTATTCCTTTTAAAAGCAAACTCTCATTCAGGGAAAAATAAAGGCCTCCTACATTTTAAAAATCACTGTCATTTCTCCCAACCATCTTTTCAGGCTTTCAGAGTACGGGTGCATGCTGGAGATTAAGGATGTGAGAACATTTCCTGATGGAAGTTCCGTCGTAGACGCGATTGGCATCAGTCGGTTCCGGGTGCTAAACCACCGCCACAGAGATGGCTATAACACAGCAGACATTGAGTATCTTGAAGATGAAAGGGTAAGGCTTATTGTACTGGTGTATTTTACAGAGGTCAGTCCTCTTGCTTCCCTCTGCATTGTAAGAAAGCTTTGTCAAACTTGTATTGACAGTATTACTATGCCCTTCATTCGTCACTTAAATTATTTATTTACCTGCTTATTTATTTTTGAGTCAAGGCCTCCTTCTGTCTTGCAGGCTGGAGTGCAGCAGCGTGATCTCGGCTCGCTGCAGTTTTGACCTCCCAGGCTCAAGCAATCCTCCTGCTTTGGCCTCCTGAGTAGCTGGGACTGCAGATGCACAGCACCACATGTGGCTAATTTAAAAATTTTTTTTTTTGTTGAGACAGAGTCTCTCTGTGTTGCCCAGGCTGGTCTCAAACTCCTGGACTCAAGCAGTCCTACCACCTTGGCCTCTCAAAGCACTAGGACTGCAGGCATGAGCCACTGCCTTTGGCAGTCATTTATTTTCTCAGTGTTTTTTTACCCGAGTTGGGAGCTGGAAAAGAAATCTCTTTTTTAAAAAGTGACCTTACTGTACTTATGGAGCATGTAAACCTGCACACTGAAAAATAGGCTTGTGATTTGTTACTGGATGTTCTAACCTGGAGCTGGCAAACTTTTTCTGTAAAGGGCCGGATAATAAATATTTTAGACTCCGCAGGCCATATGGTCTCTGTCAAAGCTACTCAGTTCTGCCCTTACAGTGCAAAAGCAGCCATAGACAATGTGTAAAGTCATGAGCATGACTGGTTTTCCATTAAATGTTATTTCCAGAAACATGGTGGTGAGCATGGGCTGACTCATGAACAGCAATTTGTCAATCCCTGTTCTCAGTGTTGGTGTTAGTTCAGAACGTGACAAAAATCTACAACTTAAAAATACCTTTCAAAGCTAAATATAAAAGCCTTGAATTTATTACCCTTACAAACTTTTTATACATCTAATAGAAATATCAGGACATATAATTTGACAAATTAGCGAAATGTTTTGAGAGATTCTCTAACAGACTTGCACAACGATGTCCACAGTAGTCTTACTCAATAGTAGCCCCAAACCAGGAGCCCAGGTGTTGATCTCCGTTGAGTCAGTAAACACACCGTGGTACATTCATGCAATGGAATTCTACCTGTCAATAAAAAGAAATGAACTGCTGGTGCACAGAACAACACGGATGACTCTCATAGACATGATGTTAAGTGAGAGAAGCCAGACACAGGACGAACGCGTGCTGTGTGACTTCATCTATATACTTTCAGGAACAGGCAAAACTAAACTCTGGGGATGGAAGTCAGAAAAGGCTTGTGGGGTTGGCTTTGTAACTGACTGGGGAGGGTGGGCGTTGAAGAATCTTTCTAGGTAGTGGAAGTGTCTGTCTGGTTTTGGGTGATGGTCCGACTGGTGTATACAGTTGAGAAAACTCTTTGAGCTAAAACAGATCTATGCACTTTTCAGTCTGTAAATTATACTTCAGCAAGACATTTTAAAATACTTAAAATGAGGAAATCCTTGGAATTATTGTGTCCCTCTTTTAAATTCTTTGGTTGACATTTGGAAATGCGGAAGTGAGGGTATGTTGCCACCCCACATCACACTGGAAGTCATTTTGTGGGCAGTGGTGTACGCTTAGGATTTGTGAATGGAGTCACACCCAGGACGCTAGCTCTGTGCCTCCTCCAGCTGCTGATTCTGGTCATCCCAGTGCAGAGGAGCAGAGCAGAGAGCCCAGCCTGGACCAGAAAGCTGGGTTTCAAAGCTGTAGCTGAAAGTGATAGTTCTCAGGATCCCTCTGCTGGGTTGATAGACCTGACGGCAGGGTTTATTGACTGTTGTTGGAGATGACAGCTTTTAATAGTGTATGTATTTTAAAATGAGGGTTTAAATAGCTACAACACGAAATAACTTTAGCTTATTTTTAAAAGAAAATCCTCTGTCACATATGAATATTTGAATTCTGTAAATCAAACTGAGGGTAGTATATGCATTACATTATAATTTCTCAGCACACCATAGTTTTCGTAGTACTGGAATTTTATAACAGGAAAGGACCTTCATGGTTTATTCCTGTTTTACAGATGAGAAAACTCTGCCCTAATGTGGCTTTGAGACGAGCTAAATTCACACATGAGAGTCAGTGATGAAGCCAGAATGAACCCTGGCCCCCTGATTTCCAGTTCCATGCTCTTCCTCCTCTTCCAGGTGTTCCCAAACAGGACTGAGGTGTAACTTAAATGACAGACTTGATAGTGACATAGGGATGAGAGGCCAGCTTGGTCTGTCTAAGGTGTCGTGGCCGCCCGCAAGCTGGAGTCCGTCAGCCCAGGCTGATGTCATGAGTGCAGTGTTGTCCTAGCAAACCTTCAGGAATATAGCTTGGTGATATGGAATACAGTGTTTAAAATGTCACTCTTTAACTTGATAATTCTGTCAAGGTCTCTAGGAAACTATTCTAAGGAAATCATACCTCCCTCCCTTGACAAAAAGAACCCACAATTTTTCATAAATGTTTATATTACTGTGTTATTTTTAAAAATAAAAGTCTAGACTATTCTAAATAACTTATGTGAATAGCTAAGTAAATTGGCATATATCCTAAATATATAATTGCATGCAGCCATTGAAAAATATTCAAAATTACCTGAAACATGTACTTATGGTATGAAGAGAAAAATCAGGATACAATTGATAGATTTCAATTATGCAAAAAAAATACAGATTTCTATGTTGAGCATGTACCATTTTTGTGAAATCAATGAATTATTAAAGTGCTAAATGTCACAAACCCACTTAGCGGCGGTGCAGAAGTCACTAACCGTGTTGTATGCGTGACCACGAATGGTTCCCATGGTTGTGCCTTTTACCCGCTCAGGTGGAGGGTCCAGAGTACGAAGAACTCGCCGCTCTCCACGACTCCGTGCATCAACAGGCTGTTTCCTGGTTTGCGTCTCTCCAGGATCGCATGAGAGAACAAATTTTAAGTCATTTTGGGGTGATGCCAGAGAGAGAACCTGAGCCTCAGGTATCCCCTCCTTTCTCCTTTATAATTCTATTATTTCCTGCTGTAGTGTGCTGAGCCAGGATTCTAGTGGAGACCTTGGCAGTATGATGCTGGGTACCCCAGTGTGGTTGCTTATGAACCAGTTCGTCTACTCACAGCCCCAAGAGGCACCCACTGTGGTAGCCCAACAACAAAGGCTTAAAGGCTTTCTAACACAACGTAATTGCTTTTCTAACAACAATCCATTTATTCTAATTGGCTGTCAGCTTGTGTAGCCTTTTGCTTCTTTCACTCACATTTTAAAATTTAAGCAGTAACTTTATTGCATTGGCACAAACACTCTACGTTCAGCACATAGCATTGCCTTGCACCTGGTATACGGGTGTTGGATAAGTGAGGAGAAAATCCTATCATTCTTGTGACATTAGAAGCGTGACTTCCTTGTCCGCTGTGTACCCTACTACCCAGGTGTCATGGGCTTTCTCTAGTGCTCCCTATGAGTGCTTTTGGTGAAGCTGGTTCTTTAAGCAATGAATGAGCTTCAGGTTTGTGGAGCATTTCTAAGATCAGGTGGCCCTCTCTTCTGCATTAGATGGGTGAGCCAGGCTGGGCTGGTTTAAGATGGTGCATGAGAGTACATACCGTGTATACCTCCCACCTGCACATGACTGCTCAGCTGTCAAAGACAGTAGGGAAGGGGATCGGCTCCCAGCTCATTTAGGGTGATGTGAAACGTCTTTTGTGTCTTTCTCCATCCATTTTAACTTTTTTTCTCTCTTGGAGTGTCGGTATTTTACCCACTGCCTGAATTCTTTCTTTTCCAAACACAGAATAATGCTTTAAGTGCCAGAAATTGCCATTAAGTCCTGCCTAGCTTGCCCTATTTACGTAAGCCTTTGTTCTACACTGTCCTGGAACTCAGATTCAGAAAGCAAGGTGGTTAGACTGACTTGCATTAGAATATAAGTCAATCTTTTTCCTAGGAGTTTTTATTTATTAACCAAATTTTTTGGTCGGTACTTTAGCTTCGTACTACTACTGTAAGAAATTATCACAAACGTGGTGGCTTAAAACAACATGTATCTATTGTCTTCCAGTCCTGGTTCTGCAGGCCAGACTATGATCAGGGTGATGGCAGTGTGCATTCCTCTGTGGAGGTTGTTGGGGAGAGTCTGCTTCCTTGCATTTGTGGCTTGTAGAAGCCGGTGGCATTCCTTGACTTCCTTTCTCTTGTCAGAGCTGGCAACGTTGCCTCTCTCCGACCTTTCTTCCGCAGCCACATGTCCCTCTGACCATGGCCCAGAAAGGACCCCATATGAACACATTGGGCCATCAGGATAATCTCCTCATCCTAAAGTCCTCAACTCAATCACATCCTCCAAGTCCGTTTGCCATATAAGGTACCATATTCACAGGTTTCAGGAATTAGTCTTTGTGGGGACCATTTTTCTGCTAACTACAGTGGGATTTTAGGTAATACATCAATTTTCTTATTTAGAGTCCTTCCGATTAAGCATGCTACTCAGTTTTTTTCTTTCTCTGTGAGATGAGGAGGGAAAAAGAGTGTGAATCTGTATAAAAGGTTGTTTTCTCCATCTGTGCCTTTCTCCCTCTGAAGGGCAGGTTGATGTCTTCCTCACAGTGACTTGGGCTACCACCCCTGGTGAGCTTTGGCCACAGTGCTATTCCTAATCCTCCAGTATAATCTACCTCACCCTACACTAAGGTGACTTGGGCATCCTGCACATTTTTGGAGGAGGAATAGAGTCAAGAATCCAAGACCCTGGAAACAAAAAGACCTGGATATCTTGGTTCTAATACCAGGAATAGTGAGAACAATTGATGATCGGCTTTTGCCTACCACTCAGTCTAGAAGTGCTTGTCTGATTATGTAAAATAAAGGTTATTTGGTAGCATAATAATTCTTACATATCTAATTTATGATAACTCTGGCATGTAGCATGCATACATACACATGTTTTATACATACACTCATTTTCCACATCGAGTATGTCACTCAAATATGTACATATACTTTTAGCCTTTATAATATTATGCTTTATATGGCATGCTTAAGACATGCAAAATAATAGCACAGAACACTGGAAAGTGAAGGTAAAAATGATGGTCTTCTCTTCTGACCAGAATGTACTCTTAACTGAAGGCTTGAGAGACGAGAAGTAACTAATTCATAGACTTTCCCTGTGGAAGATGCTTCTCTTTGCAGACTCTTCCTTCTGTGAGTTTCCCGCCTTTAAATGTGTACCGTAAAAGTGAACTATGTATTTTGAGAGCTGAATGGATTGTGAAATAGCCCTAAAATACAAGGTGGCATTTAATTCTTGCTCAGGTGCCTGTTGGTGGAGCACAAGACTGTGGGGAACAGGCTTTTATTTTCAGTGTTAATCTTGCTTTCTTCTCATCTCTTCTGCAGAGTAATCCCAGTGGCCCTGCCTGGTCCTGGTGGATCCTGGCCGTGCTGCCCCTGGAGCGCAAGGCTCAGCTGGCCATCCTCGGCATGACCTCGCTCAAAGAGCGGCTCCTTGCCATCCGACGGATATTAGTCATCATCACGCGTAAGATGAATAGTCGGCAGGAGCTGGCTAATGCCAGGCAGAGAAATAATTGATTTTTTTCTCTCTGTTAAGGTTTCTGGAAGCCCTTGTACCTTCATAAATGTCAGGCATGGATGAATAGCCGTCCATTCATTGTGCTTTGTCAAGTGCTTGTGGATAAGGTTCCAAAAGGGAACACTTGCCAAATATTGAGTCCTCCTCAAAAATGACAATTCTGTGTCTGGTGGGATCTGACCTTGTACAGGGTTAGCCTGAAGTCTGAATGGAGCCCATAGTTGGAAAACAACCTAAGAAAATCTCTTGGAAGCAGATGCTTGGGGAATGCAATTCACTGACAGCACGGGACCCTGCAGATGGTTTCCATGAGGTTTAGGTTTCACGAGAAAGGATTCCCTTCCCAGTCAGTATCTTGCTCTGCCAGATGGAAAAGGCATGCTTAAGTGTCTAGACAATAGGGGGAAGCATGTTTTTATCTGGAAGTGGATTTCTTAGAACACAGGCTAACTAAAACGACGCTTAGGCTTTGTGTGTTGCTGTGAAGTTATCTGTGAAACTGAATCATCACACCATTGTTCAGTGTGGGAGCCCAAACTAGTCCTTACCCAAGAAGTAGTAGCTACCGGGTAGAACTGTGTTTAATGTCCTGTTGTAGTCCCAGGTGTTGTAAATTGCATGTTGTAATCAAATGAATGTCAAAATATAAGAAAGTGTACCTTGGATATAGAAAAACCTAAGAACAGTATAGTTCACTTGAGGAGATATATATATACACATATGTGTATATATATATGTGTGTATATATATATATATATATATATATATATTTACACACAATAAAGTGAGCAAAAGTGAGTTAAAATTGTATATACATTGGGATGTCAAACATAAAACCACCAAGTGCAAAGAACACCTTGAAAGTAGAACCTTGTCTCATTAACCAGTGGTTACTAAGCATTTAGAAAACAGTCATCTTTTCTACTGGGATTTGCATTAGAAATTAGTCCCATCAGTAAATTTCAGTTTACTATCCATTTATTAATACACAAAAACATTAACAATCTGTCGTGCCATGATAATCCATCTATTTCAGGAAAATAGATGAGAATATACGAAGGGAGGGTGGACGGTATGAGACGTAAATATTCAGCAAGTTTTTCTCCAGCACCAACCTGAGATTATATTTTTGAAAGAAAGTTTTACAGTGATCAGACCATGTGTTATCTGTTAAAGGACAGTACTATAACTTCCATGCTGTAATGCACATTGGTGATATTGATTGGAATAACTGAATCTGAGATACACATACGTTCTCTCTGGCCTAACCAGCTGGTGCATTGAGTTGGCTTCCTCATCTGCAAGGTGGACCCTAACCAGAGGGTCACAACCACTAAAGAGCACATCACAGCTGCAAGTTTTGCTTTGTTCATTGAAGGTGTGTGTGATGTTTTAGTTTTTAAATATATATCTCATAATACACAATGTTGATGGTTACCAATCCATCAAGCATTTTATTAGAAAGACTTTATAATATTAATTTTTCTTGTAGTTTTCAGTAGATAAAACTTAGTCTTATCATGAGAGTTAGAAAATAACAGTGTCACTTAATTATAAAGAGAAAATGTGCAAATCTTTTTCAATCCAGTGTTTCAAGTGCCTCGCTTATTGTGAATCTCAACTATCATCTTGAGATGGTTTAATGGCAGTTTGGCCAAGTGATTTCTAAGAGATTTTATTAATTTATGCATTAACAATACTATTCAACTTTCTTAGGCATTATAACCTAACCCGATCATTTAACAGGAAACAAAATGTAGCTCATATGCCAGAAGACCTTAACCAGAAGTGGTTCGTGAAAATTGATCTGCATTGACCATTCTCTGCCTTCCTCTTTTGGAAAATCTTTTTGTACCTTTATATCACAGCTGAATAGTTATCATCGCCATTTCCATTTGGAAGTGTCGAAATAACCACAATGTGATCACAGCTTCTCCACGAGCCTTCCTAAAGTTAACTTGGTACACTTGCTATAACATTTGGAACCTGTTGCTTTCTCTTCCCTACTCTTTAAATGTCATGTCACACAGTTCTTGGAATCAGAACTATTCAGTTATTTCTTCATGATTCTGCCTGCCTTTCTGGTCTTCTCATTCTGCGTGTTGTTAAGTAAAAGCCTGAGCAACAATGATGACGCAGATGAGAGCAACACATGCTTTTATTTTTTGATACCAGAGGGAATTAACTATGATCACATCGTGCTCTCTCTGTTCAGCATTCCACCCCCACATGCTGCAGCGTGGGAGTAGATTGGTACTTACTGAGCACTTAGAAACATTACGCATCAGGAACAGAGTCAGGGTGACTGCATCCTATGGTCATGTCGTGAAGGAAGCCTCCTTTTACAAACCGAAAAACAAAACAACCCCCAGCTTCAGTTTGCTGCCAATCAAGCCAAAGCAGAACGTCTGCTTCCTCCTCTGCCTGCTCCCTTCTGCCCCTTCTCTGTCAGGGAGATGCCAATTCTAAGCATTTCTCGGAAAATAATGTAATTTCTCATTCAAAGTCAGGACATTCCAGCTTAATTGAACTGAAAGTGCTTCAACAGTCATGCTCTAGTTACATTGGAATAAAAGCAGAAAAAAAGTAATAGCAGAGTGGGGGAGTCATTTTTCTTCTTGAGGAACAATACCTGCTGTTCGGTATTTTTCCATTCATTGCCCAAACCTGCCTGTGTCTTTGAAATGCAAGTAAGCTCCCAAAGGCAGCCTTCCGAAAGCCCATGACCCTTTTATCATATCCCATCTCCTGTGTGTGTCCTCATCTTCAGAATTGAAAGTTAGGATACTTTTTAAATTTTCAAAAGAATTTAAAATGTTAAGGTTTACCTAAAATGTTAAGGTTTATCCATAGAAACACAATAATTCTTAACCAATTTATGTACCAAATTCAACAGTATTATCTCATTTGTAGGGTCACAAATGTGTCATTTTTGCAGTTAAACCTCCTCCCCCTCAAAAACAAAAAACACCAAGACCATTTAACAAGTTATACAACTCTTAACATATGTCAGGTCTTACTACAGGACTTTTGAATAATCAAGGAACAATTGAAGTTTATGGATAGTAGAATTACAATGAACTATGGCATTATCACTTTATTATAAACTTCTTGGGAAATTGGCAGTTGTTACCATCAAAATAATCCATTGCCTATATTACATAGAATTTACTATAATTTTTAAGTGCTTTAAAAAAATACCCATCTGTTTCTTCTCCCTCTTGTCTTCTTTTGTGCCCTACCACTTAAATTACTTGGGTAAATGCTACTCTTCAAAATTTAAATACTGTCTATCAAATAAGGAGTGTGAAAGATATGAAGAAGAAAGGTAATTAGAAGCAAATTAGAAGAAAATAAATGTGGGTGATTTCTTTTGGTTGACAGCACAAAGTTTTATTTTTTCCCCAGTATGGCTATCGAGTTGAGTAGAGAGGTCCCTATCTCCCCACTTTTTAGCATAAACAGCAGTGGCAGCCAGTGGAAGGAGTTCTTCCCCTTCAACACCTTCCTAAAGGCCATATTCTGATTCTGTCGTTCACCAGAACCTAATTGCCAGGGAAGCCGGCTCCGGATAGGAAAGATCAGCTGTGCGAGCCATCGCCCACGCAGGGAGATAACTGAACCCCTTTGCCAGCATCACCCCCTCTCTACTAGGGTGAGACACTTCATTCGGAGCACTGGCTCTGACTCCCAGGGGAAAGTCTTTTTCCCTTTACAACTCCTCACCTCAGCCTCACCTTGACTTTCACTTCTCAACTGCTGAATTTTATCAAATAGCCTTTTAGCAGTGGCTCAGCTTTTAGGAGAGAACAAATAATGAAGAAGTTGAAGTGCCCCCATTGCACTTTCCCAAGTTGGGGACGTTAGATCTAATTTGCACCCAGGTCTGATAAAGGATGAGGTCTGATACTGGATGAGGACACAGAGAGGTGGATGCCACGGATAGTGTTTACTGTTCCTCACAATTCCTGTAGACACGAGAGAATGAGAGGCAGCGGACCACACCAGGGCATGAGGGGAAGCACGGGAGGCAGGCAGAAGCAGGAGTGAGGGCGAGCGTGTCTCAGACCCTCTACGGTGTTGTTCTCCAGGACAGGCAGGACAGGCAAACAGCTTAGACTGTCTGATTTAAGTAACAGCTCAGCCTCTAGGCCAGGCATCCCCAAACTTTTTACACAGGGGGCCAGTTCACTGTCCCTGAGACCGTTGGAGGGCCGCCACATACTGTGCTCCTCTCACTGACCACCAGTGAAAGAGGTGCCCCTTCCTGAAGTGCGGCGGGGGGCCGGATAAATGGCTTCAGGGGGGCGCATGCGGCCCGCAGGCCATAGTTTGGGGACGCCTGCTCTAGGCTATATGGGTGGTCTGTAGCCATCTGGCACCTGGCCCTGGGTGATCAGGGTGGGGGGTTTGCCTCCTAGTTTGTAAGAGCCAGATAGAGAAGGCACTTTGGAGGATGGACTCTAGATTGGTTACTTTGCTCCCAGGATAGCCTAAGAATTGACTTGCCCTGGGACGGGCAGTTTCTTTTGGGTCAGCGAGGCCCCTGAGATGTCAAAATATAAAATATAATCACGACTAATACAATTGGTCCTCTGCTGTTTTGAGATACTGAGTTCACTTTTGAAAGCAAAAACTTTTAAAGAGTAGGGCATTGCCTTAAAAAGCATAGAAAACGTTTTATTCTGCGAGTAGAAAGGAGGAACCCACATGGAAATACAGGAGTCCCTTAGGCCGGCCCATAGCTAAGGCTCTCATGTATATGGCATTAGTCAAGAACATAGTTCTGCAGTTTTGGGGGGCCTCTAACAATTTCTTGGTGCAGTTGTTAACGTGTTAAGCATATGAGTCTGGTGATGGTACTGCGGTGTTTCTCGGCTTGGGGTGGCAGGTCTGGCAGTTGTGTGGTTGGGGGTGCACAGCGAGAGTTCAGTAGAGGATACACAGAGACTCGTGGTGTTCATGTGTCACCACAGGGAGGGAGTGGCTGTGGAGGTACAGGGCAGGCGGTCGGTGAAAAGCCAGCTGGGGAGGTAGGAGAAGGCCCTGGGAGTGGGTGCTCCTCCCCCAGGGATTGAGGAGTTGACCGATAGGAGGCAGTTACCACCTGGGAAAGCCAGACACTCCCTTAAGTTTTAGAATGGCACAGATAGTAGCCCCTTCTTCCAGGGTTTTCATTTAGACGTGGGAGTATAGGGGGCCATGTTTTGGCAGAAAGCAGGGCATGTATCAGATGGGAGGCCAGGGAACATAGTGGACTCCTCAATATTAAAAGGAAGAACAACAAAAATGTCTTATGCTCACTTGGTGCCTCAGGAGAGGCAGCCCATGGGCATCACTAGGACAGAGGTTTTAATATCTGGGACTAAGTCATCTCTCACGGTGAGGCCATGACTGGGGCCATGTCATCTTCAGCTGTGAGCTGCTGGGCTGGGCAGTGTCTTCTGGGATGTGAGACGTGGGGTCTCCTGCTAAGCGGATCCCTACTAATGCTAATGTGGTTCCCAGCACTTGGTTGAAACAGTGGCTTACCTGGAGGGTCTGGGTCTCTGGATCATAAACCAGTGAAAGTCCCCAGATCAGTGGTGACAAGATCAATAGGCACCAGAATGTGTGCAGCTGCACCTGACAGGGTTTTGATTCTTCCTTTTTGGTGGAAGTTTAGGTTCAAGTGGGTTCTGTATCAGATGAGCAG